CTGGCCTATTGGGTCCCCACCTTCCTGGACAGTGGGTGCTGCATGGTTGGGAGGGGGCATGTGTGGAGGCACAAGAATGCATGCATGTGAGTGCATGCAGGGCAAAGCTGCAGGTGACAATGTGCATGTCAGCCCAGAGTTGCCTGTACCTATGCAGTTGCTCCCAGGTGAAGGGTCATATTTGGGAATATAGATGGCTCTAAATGTGTAAGCATGCATGTGGTCATGGATGTATCTGGATGTATGTGTGGTCTAAGGCAGGGGTAGGGGATGTGAATACCCCATAGGACAGCCAAAGAGAGAAGCTGGAGGCAGGATGGGGAGGCTGAACAGGGCAGAAAAAGGGGTGCAAGCAAACAGGAAAGCCTATAGGAGAAGCCCATCTAATGGATTACCCTCCACCAGATTATGTCTCTTGATTCCTGGGGCTTTTCTTCTTTATTTCACCTCCAAAGTCTGTCACTGCAAGAGGAAGAGGAAGAGGAAAAGATAGACCCCAAAGACAAGAAACCAGATAGAGACACACCTGTTGCATGTACATGATGCACAGGGACCCATGGCAGAGGAAGGAGACAGAGCCCAAGGCAGACCAGCAGCCACCCCCATCAGCAGGGCTGGGTTTCATGCTAGCCCCTGCAGGAAATCCAGCAGCCCTGTGTGCCACTCCCCAGGTTTGTCAAGGTAACAGGGGTGCCCTGCCCCCTCCATGACCAACACACGGTGGTTGGGCAGATGCTTCAGGTGCTCAAAGCTGGTCAGACCCATGGGGTCCTGGTCTCCATATACAATAAGTGTTGAGGTCTAGAGAAAGGAAAGGGAGACAGAGTAAACAGGGACCTGACACACCGGCCCCAGCCTCCTAGAAGTCAGCTCTAGCCCCACAATCACTTCAGTCTCTCCCTGGGGTCACCCCAAATAAGGGGGAGAGACAAGCTGGCCCAGTGGGTGGTAGAAGCCCCAGCTCCAGGCGGATAGAGGCATGGATGTTGTCTGCCCCAGCATACAGATTAACACAGGCCAAGGCACAGTAATCTGCTAAGTAAACCAAAAGGGTGGAGTTTGGTCATTTAGCTGCTCCCAGAAGACACCCCTTGGTTACCCTGCCCCCAGGTGAGGAAAGGCCCCAGGATGGACCCTTCCTTGCTCGTGGCAGGGGCATCTCAGCCTCCCACACAGGGGTACCTTCACACTGGCATAGTCGGCAGCATTGATTTTGTCAGTGCAGATAGGGGCCACTGGCACGTAGCCCCGGAGCTGGGAGCCAGGGGCCGTCAGGAAGGGCAGGGAGTACATGCCACTCAATGACGGGCTGATCACAACTGGGGGACCCAGGTCCAAGGCATCTACCACAGCTGCCAGGAAGCTGCTGGGGACCAGCTCTCCAATAGGGGCAGGGGCTGCTGCTTCCTTGGAGCGCCCCAGACCTGCAGGGATTCAGGTGTGAGAAAGACAAAGGCATGAATCGGGAAGTGGAAGAGACAGTCCCTTCCTCCAGGAAGTCCTCCTAGGTGGACCTTTCTGTGCCAGGTTCCTGCAGCACACAGCGTACCCAAGCTTATTCCTACAGCAGCCTAGATCTACCATTATCTGTGGCAAGCATGAGGCATTTCCCTCAATGTCTGTGCCCATCTCTCTCGGCAGTAGAGTGGTCCTGGAAAGGATCAGGCTCTGAAGTCCAACCCAGATGGGTCCAAGTCTCAGTCTTCCACTTACTATCTATGTGACCTTGGGAAAGCCTCCTCAACCCTCTCTCGGCTGCTCAGTTTCCCCGTGTGTTAAAGGAGATAACAAAAGTATCTGTCGTTTCAGATTGTTGTGAAAATTAAGTGAGTTAACTGGTTAAGAGACACCCATCCCAGGGCTGGCAGAATGGACAGTGACTGAGGAGCTGGCTCTGCACATGGACCTCCCCTCCAATTAGTCGTACCTTTCCCACAAAGATTAGCTCAAGACCTTCACCTGGAAGATCAGCCCAACCCACTGTCTGAACCAATTCCATCTGGGCCTAGAGGCCCACACCTGGGCACTGAAAACATGGCAGCCATGCCTGTGAGGGGAACAGGTCAGCTATGCTGCCCCTTCACATGGCACCATGTCTAGGTTATGATTGCCAGTCTGGGGCTGTCCCTGCCTACTCCAGAACCCAGTTTAGGGCTTTGTACATGGCTTAGCCACCCTCCAGGGCCTGCCCCACCCCCAAATGTGTCAGAAGATTCAGTCTTACTAGGCAGGACTTCCAACAGACCCTATGGTTATGGCTCCATCAAAAGATTTTACTTCCAATTGGCCGAGCACCGATTACTGGGTGTCAGGTACTGGCCACTATTCACATAATCTCAGTCCATTCTCACTAGAGCCAACCCTCAAAATGAATGTATCTCCCGTTACAGATGAGGAAACAGAGGCTCAGAGATACTGAGACACTGCCCCAGGACAACACAGTTAGAAGGATCTGGACAGTGTCCAGACCACATCCGGATGGAGACTAGAGACAGTGGAAGGCCCCACAGTGTGCACCGTGCCCTATGGAGCTTGGGGCCCAGCCTGGCCAGGTCCTCCCAAGTCCCCCAGCCCCCAGTGAGGCCCCCACAACCCCTGTCCAGGAGCCCGCCCCAGAAATACCTGGCAGGTCGATGGCCACAGCCCGGTAGCCAGCCTGAGCCAGACTGTGCAGCGTGCCCAGGTTCTGCCAGGTCTCAGAGGAGAAGCGGATACCATGCAACAGCAGAACTGAGAAGCAGGCAGCCTGTCCACCGCCTGGCCGAGCCTCTCGGAAGAAGAGGCTCTGGCCCTGCACCTGGATGGTGCCCTCATGCTGCTCCACACCCGCCATACTGGCTGCTGCACTGGTGAAGCACCTATGGTTCAAGGCCAGACTGATGAGCCACAAAACACCCTGCCCAGGCTACCACAGAGAGAGAAGGGGTCCCTCAAGAAGCAGCAAAAAGGCCTCCAGGAAGCTACCAGAACTCTAGGAACATGCTTTGGGGGGGAGGAAGACATAGTGTTTTTATGCCTCTCCCACTCAATTGTGTGGCCCTGGGCCTCAATTTCCTCTTCTGAAATAAGGAACAATAAAGCCTATCTCAAGAATTAATGAGTTAAGAAAAAAAAAAGAATTGGCAGATGAGGGTGCCTGCCCTTAGAATGTAATACATGGGGCTCCCATTACGATTATTGTCCTCACTGTTATTATACTTTTCTACAAATAGGGATAATACAATAGTGTTCGGCTCATAGGTAGTTGATGAGATTAAATGAGCTCAGGCATGTACAACGCTGGACATCGTTCCTAACACATAGGGAGCATAGTAAGTGCTCAATCAACAGTAAGGTGCTGTTTTGCTTATCGACCTCTTCCTCTTCAAGGCACTGTTACAGGCTGTAGGTTGGCACCACAGACCAGAGGGGGTCGGGGATGGAGTTAAAAACCCATTTTCCGGAGGCGGAAGCTGGAGCAGAGCCGGGAAAGGCATTGGAGTTCCGGCCTGCAAGGGATGCGGAGTGCCCAGCGCGCTTCCCGCTGGGGGCCAACGCTCTGACGCCGTGGTCAGGGGGCACGGTCAACGGCGCTGCAGCGGCTCTCTCTGTCCCCTCCGCGGACCTCGGTTCTGGCTCGCAGGGCCGGGTAAGGCGCACGCGGAAGGGTGGGAGCAGACCCGAGGAGGGAACCTGGGGAGCCGAGAAGGGGAAGGGGAAGAACTTGGGGTAGTAAGGGTGGGCCCTCACTGGATAGCGGAAGAGAGGGTCGGGGGTGCAGGGCCGGTACCTGAGGAGCTGCGTAGGCTCGCGCAGACAAGAAGCAGGCGAGTGCTGGCTGCGACTGAGGCCCGGGGCAGGGAAACCGGGAATTGGCCTGGCCGAGGGCGGGGACCAGGCCGTGCTACGGGGCGCCCTCTTGTGGCCACAAGACGTCGCAGGCCTGTCGGTGCCGTTAGACCTATCTTTCTTGTCGCAGCGGCCTCAGTTTCCCAGAGCCCCTCGGCCCCTTGTGTTCCAAGTACCCGGCTAGGTGCGGCTCCCAGCAACCTGCCCCAGATGCACATGGTGCGGCTTGAGGTTCATAGAGTCTCATCCCTGCTGCTCCTCCCCGCCTTGTCCCCCAACCCACTCATCCCTGGGGCCTTGACTGCCCGGGCCCAGAGTTGTGCGCCTGACATGCAGTGAAACCCGACAGCTTTGAGTGCGAGGTACTGACAAAGTCCAGCCAGGTGGCGTTGGTCGTTTACCTATCGTCGCTGAGCCTCCTGGCCTGTAGAATGGGTGCGATGTTGCCTTTTTAGCAGGGTGTCGATAACAGAGTGAGTCCTGCATGCTCAGCGCAGCTTCCCCGTGCCAGGCCTGGCCGCCAAGCCTGGGACCTGTCCTGAGCCGGGGGCAGACCACACGTTGGTCACACATTGCCCACCAGGATGGGTGCTATAAAGAGCCGTGAAGGAGCGAGAGGCTGCCCTGGGCTGTGACCAAGTGCGTGCGCATGTGTATCCGTAGGGGTTGGGGAAACAGTTGGGATGAGACCTGGAGCTACCAAGTAACAATAATATCTGACATTTACAAGGCAAGGGACTCCTCGCCAGACACTGAGCTAAGGCCTGACCGGTCCTTTGTGGTCCTTAAGACAACCCTTATCCTTAACCCCGTTGTGCAGACCAGGGACTGACCCACGATAGAGATGGTCTGGTGGAAGAAGCCGGTGGCTCTCCCCTGGCCCTCGGGATGGAAGCAATCCGGAAAATCTGGACGGGGGGACGAGGCCTGTGTGCTTTCAGGCGCCGCCTGGACTCACCCCCCCCCCACCCCGGCCACCGATCTGGGTTGGGAGGCGGGGGAGGGGGGGGAGGAGCGGGGGGGGGGGGGGGGGGGGGGGGGGGGGGGGGGGGGGGGGGGGGGGGGGGGGGGGGGGAGGTGCTGCGACTGCGGACTGCGCAAGCGCGCCTCCTTGGCCACGCTTTCCGCCGACCAGTGCCCGCAGCAGCCTGCGGAGCCGCCGAGGCAGCGCAATGGTTGCGGCGCTGTTTGGCTGCTGGTTCCGCGTGGGCGGGGCCCGCTCTGGGGTGTCCGGCCCGGTCATCCCGGTCGGTCGGGTGAGTGTCCCCGGGGAGTGAAGCCAGCAGGGTGCCCGGGGCGGGCCATCCTGGCTCCGCCCCTTGCCCCCAGAGTCCTCGGGCAGAGTCCTGCGGGAGTGGCAGGCGCTGGGGCAGTGAGTGTGTGTGTTGGTGTGTTGTGTGTGCACGCACGCGCTTGTGTGCGTGTGTTCTTAGGGGTCTGAATGTACGTGTGTGTCGATGTGTGTGTCTGTTTCTACATGCATATATAGCGGAGGGTTGGGGATTGGTCTGTCCGCTTGTGTTTGTGTATGTCAACTGTGTGCATTTCTGCCTACATGTGATTTTGAGGGTGTGTAAATTCCTGTGAGTGTATTTCTGAGGGTATGTCTGTCTGTCATGTGCACGTGTGTTTCTTGTATGCATGTGTAGTTTTAGGATTGTGTGAATGACTGTGTGCTGGAAATGTGAGGGTCTGCATGGTTTTGAAAGCGTGTGTCTGTATGTCCACCTGCCTTCCTGATGGCTGACTGTATGCCTGATTTTGAGGGTATGTATTTCAAGGGATCAATTGTCCACAGGCCAGGCATGTCTGCCTGTACGTGCGGGGAATAGCTTGTGCAAAAGAAAAGCATGTGGGAGCAGGACTCGATGTTTGTGCGCACATGTGTACACCCGTGTGTCATTGTTGACACGTATGTCAAGGACCTAACTTGAGTAAAGCTTCCCCGTCCCCACACACCGTATCTGTAGTTGCCTGCAGCCAGTTGCTTGCTAGCTGTCCACTATCATGGTCTAGTGCACTAGCTGCCTGGGTTGCCAAGGCAACGGCCAAAGTCCTGACTCTCCCTACCCCCAAAGGGTAAGGTGCTGGGCGCCTGCAGGGAAAGGTACAGCACAGATTCTCCCACTGGTGGGAACATAGGCTAATGCCAAGTGGGAGGTTGCTCTTCGTGGTCAGAAGGAAGAGAGGAGCGCCCTCTTCCTCTCCTCAGCTCCTGGCTCTCCATCAGCACCAGAGGGGCTGCCACTGCCCACCCACCACGGGACTGGGAGCCTGGAGGTGGGGGCTTGGGAAATATCCCCAAAGCTCCCAGGAGAGGAGGGTGGGGCTCAAGATGGGTTTCCAGCTCCTAGCGAGGGCCAGCACCCAGTTGGCACTCAATAAAGATGTGTTCGCTGCAATCGGAATAAGGCAGGTGTACTCATCCTAGGCCCAAGAAATGAAGACAGGACATCCCTGGATCAGGTCCACTGTCTTATTGACATATCACAGGAAATTTGAAAGGGCTGATGCAAGGTTATCCTTTCCCCCCATTTTACTGACAAACTGAAGACACACAGCCAGGAAGTGGCAAACAGAGTATTGAAGCCAGGGCTAACTGTTCTGTCTGGGTCCTGGGTCCTGGAGTCTGTGCTCTGGATAGTCAGAGGACTCAGACTGAGGTCCTGAAGCTGGGGTCGGGGAAGCATTCATCTCTCCAACCTCCATGCCGCCTTTTCCATTTCTAGGTGTACCATGCTCCTCCCTTGCCCCATACCCCTCATGCCTCAGCATTTCCCCCATCCCAGATATTCTCCAGGAGCCCTCCTCCCACTTAATATCAGCTGAGGTAGAGTGTTAACTATTCCCATCAACTGTAAAAAAACACATTCTGATTTAAGCACTATTCTATGCAATGTGATTAAAAAGGAAAAAAAAGGACCATTTCAAACATGCTGTCAGTGGGATGTAGCTTTACACATAGTCCTTCACTTTTGATGACTCTCACTCCTCTGTCCACCAGCAAGGCTCCAGTTCATTCTTCACCTCTCAGCCCCATGGTTTCTTCCTTGGCAAATGGAGTGTGGCTTGGTGGTTAGCAGCCCAGCCCCGGATTCAAATCCCAGCTCCCCTACTTGCTACTCTGCATTTTGGGCAAGAGAATTTACCTCTCTGGGCCTGTTTCCTCATCTGCAAGAGAACCATAATCATATCTGCTCCCCAGTGTTCGTTCTTGTGTGGATTCATGAGCCCTTGCATGCGAAGGGCCAAACACAGGATCTGGCTGTCATCAGCACCCGATGAATGGAAGTGGTTTCAGCTGGCACAGTGGTGATGGTCACTGAGCATGCTGTGTATCGAGACATCTCAGATGCCCCTTCTCACACTGCAGGGTATCTGAGCCCTTGCTCCAGCATGTGGAGGAGTTGAGTATGAATGTCAGATCCCTGCCCAGAGCAGGAGAAAGGGCAAGGGCTGAGCTCTTCCTCTGCTGGGGGCTTCCGGGTGGGGTTTGGGGATGGGGTCCCGGGGGCCTGGTGGAGGCGCAGCGCCAGCCTCTTCTTCCTCTCCTCTCCTCCAGACTGTGGTACAGACCTCCATGAGCCGGTCCCAGGTAGCCCTGCTGGGCCTGGGCCTGCTGCTCATGCTGCTACTGTACGTGGGGCTGCCAGGCCCCCCTGAGCAGACCTCCTGGCTCTGGGGAGGCCCCAATGTCACAATCCTGGCTGGTCTCACCCCTGGCAACTCCCCCATCTTTTACCGCGAGGTGCTCCCACTCCACCGGGCACACAGGTGGGTGCTGACCCCAGGGTACAGTGGAAGGACTAGGTCCAAGGGGAGTCCCTGTGTGGGACCCCAGCTCAACTCAGGGTGCTCAGGGCCTGGGAGGGCAGTGGGAGAAGCCTAAAAGAAAGAATGGCGGGCCATTCTCAGACCCCCAGGACACACACTCCCCTGTGTGCCCACAGGGTGGAGGTGGTGCTGCTCCATGGAAAGGCCTTTAACTCCCACACGTGGGAGCAGCTGGGCACACTGCAGCTGCTGGCGCAGAGGGGCTACCGGGCCGTGGCCCTTGACCTCCCAGGTGAGAGCCACCACTCCGGGGTCTAGGGAAGCGACAACATCCAGCAGGTACAAGGGGGCAGTTTCCCAGAGTGGGGAGTCGGAGGGGTAGAAAAGCCTTACGGTATGGCTTGGGGTTGGGGGGGGGGGGGGCTTGGCATTTGGATCCCAGTGTCTGGACAAACGGTGGCAGGTCGCAAGACAAGATGGCCACACTAAAGGGCCTGTGTTTTTATTCTCTACCTTGAAAACTAGAATGTGGATTGTTGCATGTCACAGAGCAAGTAGAAACATGACTCACTTTACAAGCCATTGAATGGAGAGACCTCACTGTACTTTTATGACAAACTAGGTAGCTTTTTGGTTTTTTTAGTTATGCAAATGGTTTATGCTATTATTCTTGTCTTTAAAAAATCCAACAAGAGTGATGCCCTCAGAGACCCATGCCACATTTCTCTCCCAGCAGTTTGGGGGTTCCTGACTCCCTTTGGGTGTTTCCATATATAGAAAAATGTGGTGCTGCAGGATTGTGTGGTGAGGTTAGGAACGTGACTGGTGTCCCGTCTGCTTAGCAAATCTATCCGCAGTTTGGTTTTCTCCTCCTGTACCATGTCTCATAGGGCACGCCAGTCATCTGTATGTGTACTATGTGCCATTGGAGGCATGGACACATTTTATCTGCCCATTCCTCTACTGGTGGATATGTAGGTTGATTTAGAGTTTTCAGTGTAAATTGAAATGCTTGAGAAATGAAGCTGAAGCAACTTTGGACATGTCTCTGAGCACAAAGGCAATAATTTCTGTAGGGTAGCTACCAAGGACATTGATGGGTCAAAAGATACACATTTAAAAAATTTTTGACAAATACTACCTTACCCTCCAAAAATGCTATATGGATTTATCCTCCCATCCGTCATTTAAGAATGTGCCCATTTCTCCTCATCTTTCCCAACACTGCGTATTATCAATCTTCTTGGTTTTGCCAATGTAATGAATTAAAAATGCTTTTCTAGCAGACCTATCACATTATAAAAAGTAGCTTCTGGGAAGTTTGGGCTAGCATTGCCACGTACCACTGCTCTTTCCCCCACTGTGGTGGGCAGGAAGTCCTGAGTTCCTTTCCAGCCTCCCTTAGCTGGTGCCTCCTGCTGTTCCCAGGTTTTGGGAACTCAGCACCTTCCAAGGAGGCAAGCACAGAGGCAGGGCGGGCAGAGCTGCTGGAGCGAGTGCTTCGAGACCTGGAGGTGCGGAATGCCGTGTTGGTGAGCCCCTCTCTGAGTGGCCGTTATGCCCTGCCCTTTTTGATCCAAGGCCACCACCAGCTGCGTGGATTCGTGCCCATCGCACCCGCCTCCACCCAGAACTACACCCAGGAACAATTCTGGGCCGTGAAGGTACTAGGAGGAGGGTTTCCAAAGGTCCTGGCTTGCTATCCCTGGCTTGAGTCATGGCAGGAAAGGACTCAGGTCTCACTTGGAGGACACACGGCCTCATCTGGATAGAAAGAGATGGGGTGTTTGGGAAAGATTTCCTAAGGAGGTGGCTAGAGGGTCAGTTCCCATCAGGCTCCAGGATCACAAGCCCTTGCCTTGCCCTGCAGACCCCGACTCTCATCCTGTATGGGGAGCTGGACCGCATCCTGGCTCGGGAGTCACTGCGGCAGCTCCGTCACCTGCCCAACCACTCCGTGGTGAAGCTGCGTGATGCAGGCCACGCCTGCTACCTCCACAAGCCTCAAGACTTCCACCTTGTCCTCCTTGCCTTCCTTGACCACCTGCCTTGAGGTCACCCACTGGCCAGGCCCGAGGCCTGGCCTGAGCTTGGAGAGTCTGGACCAGCACCTCACCAGGGAGGCAGCCCCTGGGATTGGAGGGTGGAGGTCAGAGGGCCAGACCCAGTCAGGACCTCTCATTTCATCTCACAGGCACAATAAAAAAGAGCATTTTTGTCATGCCTGGGGAGTGACAGGTCCTGTTTCCTGGTATTACAGCAGGTGGGGTGGGAGTGGGAGGCAAGTCTGGAACTGCTTTGGGGCTGGGAGCTGGAGGGAGGTTTCAGCAGCCTGGGAAGACTAAGAACATGGGCTACTTCCTAGCTGGCTGCCCTTACCACTCTGTGACTCAATTTCCTCATCTGTAAAATGGGCATGATGTTAATACCTAACTCAAAATTTGGTTTTAGGATTGAATCAGTCTGGGTAAGTGAGGTACTTGGCCACACGGAGCTGGAGGGGGTCAGGGCGAGGGGGTATTACTACTGCTGCGTGCCCACTGGGATTGGTGGGAAATCCAGGATCTGGCAGTTGAACTGAGTGAGTCAGGAATGCAGGACCTATGGCCTAAGGGAGCAGGATGTGTAGGGCTGGAGGTGGGGAATGTGGTTTAACAATTAACATAGCATTGGTGGTGAACTACCAAGACTGCTTGCTCCTGGGTATGTAAGCAGACCTGACTTAAACCCTGGGAGCGTTGGGATGGACCCCTACCCTACCCTCCTGGCCTGCCTCCTCTGAGCCAGGAGGCTGAAGTCTTCAACCCTGCCCCTCCCCAAGCTGACTCAGAACTGCCTAAGGGTACAAAGGGCAACTGGGGGCACAAGTGGGCAGCTACAACTGTGTGCAGTCTGGGGGTGGCCAGTACGACACCTGTGCCTCTTTATCCTCCCTCTCCGGTGGCTGCAGAAGAGCCAGGAAGCCTGGCACAGGGTCAGCCAACAGTATGTCACATGTATGCTTTTGTGCAGTTTCCCCACCTCTCCCGCTGTCACGCAGCCTCAGTTTCATCCTCCCACCATGACATTTTCTGTCACACAGATGCTACCACACCCAACCACCACCTCACACTCATATTGTCACACACACGGTCACACACACTGATGCACACTGTTAGATTTGCCCACACAGCTGCACATTCGCACGATCTCACAGGCAGTCACATATGTGCCCCTCTGTCCATTTATCCTTTCCTGGCACTTTGTCTAGGCATAGGCTCGGTGCCCTACCAGGTACACGGATCTGCGGGTACACGGACCGGCCTCCTGGAGCTTATACAGTATGAAAAAACAGATATTGACCAATAACCTCTCCACATAGGGGGCTGAGGCAGTCAGGGAAGCCCTCCCTGAGGAGCTGAGACACGGAATGGGGGAGAAGTCGGAGACGCGTGGGAGGGGGTCGGGGAGCAGGCAGGGGCCAGCTCTGGCAGGACTTTGCAGCTCTGTACCCCAAGAGTAAGGGGCGCCGGAGGGGCAGACACTTCGTGCGTCAGTGTCTACCCGCCTCTCTTCTGTCCCCACGTGGAAGTTGTGGGAGCTAGAGCCCTCTGGAGGCGGGACCATCCGGAGCTCGCTTCTAGGCCCGGGGGCGGGGCCTGGCGGGGTGGGGCCTGTGGGGGCGGGGGCGGGGCCAGCGGGGGCCAGCAGTCAGCCGCGGGGCGTAGCAGGTGGCGGCGGAGGCTGCCCCCGAGAGGGATCAGGTAATCGGAGCGGAGGCTGGAACCAGGGGCGGGCGGAGACTCCCGCGCCGACGCGGCCCTAGAGACTGGGGCGGCCCTTACTCGCAGTCTTCGGCCCCGCCCCGCGACCGGGTCCGGGCACGTGGTAGGCAGACCCGGGCGGTTCTGAGCCCGCGACCTCGCAGGACCCTGAGCCCTGGGCACAGTCCGGAGCGGGCGCTGAGAGGCAACCGCGGGCCCAAGACCGGCAGAGAGCGAGGTGGGGGGCCCCGGAGAGGAGTAGAGCGATCTGGGGTTCCATGGGATAAAATCCGGGCAATTGGGAGAATGATTTGGGAAGGGCTGGGGGAGTCAATGCCTGGGATCAAACCTGGCTCAGCTATTCTCTAGCTGTCCCCGAACCTCTCAGCCTCAGCTTTCTCCTCTGTAAAGTGGGCATTCAGAGGCACAACTTCATGGGGCTTTTTGGCGGATTCAAATGGGCATGTGTCGAAAGCGGCCAGCACGGCTCCTGAAACAGAATGGGGGCTCCAAAACGGGGTGTGTTCTCCCTGTGGGACGTTGGAGGAACCGCCCTGGGGAGGGCCTGTGTGCAGATGGAGTCCACTGGGACCCAGACGGGAGGGGTAGGTAGCCACTCGCTTTGCCCCCAGCGCACCCCGCGCAGCGCCATGGCCAGCGAGGGTCTCGAGGGCGAGCACCCGTCCGTGACACTCTTCCGTCAGTACCTGCGCATCCGCACCGTCCAGCCGGAACCCGACTACGGTGAGAACGCGGTGGTTCCAGGGCCTGCGGTGGGGCCCCAGGGCGGGGACTGTGCTCTATACCAGACTCCAACCCCTGTCACCCAGCTGAGCCCCACTCTGCTGCCCCAAATGGCGCCTCAACGCCTCTAGCCATTCCCCAGACCAACAGACTGCTCAGCCACCCCCTTCAGACTGTGCTGCACCAGAAGCTAGCACCAGAACTAGCCTGGTGGCTAGTTAAGGAACAACTTCACCTCACTGCCCAGTGTTTGAGGTCGGGGAGGGGAGACCAGACAGCCACAAGGAAAGACGCTCCAGAAGCCTACTGGGGCAGGACAAAGGCCACAACCCTTAGGGAATCAAGCTTGATGGCTGGAAATTGTGGACATGGGTCCAAACCCCTGCCCTGTATTTACCAGCTGGGAGACATTAGGTGAATCTCATGTCTCTGTACCACAGTTTTCCTATTTCTAAGGAAGATAGCAATCACTCCTGTTTCTAACTGTGGACTTCCCACTTGACCTTCCACAAAGGGTCCCTGACTGGCCAAAAATATCTTCTTCCTTGGAGACAGAAATGCAGGTGTCCCTGAGGGATGTGGAATTGCACTGAGGAGGCAGCAGCCCATTTCGAATGGGCTCCCCTCTCTGAATGCACCCCAGCTTTGCCTGGATCGGTGGGAAGTGTAGGTAGGCAGAAGCAACCCCAAGACTCTCTGTGTCCCCAGGGGCTGCCGTGGCCTTCCTTGAGAAGAGAGCCCACCAGCTGGGCCTGAGCTGTCAGAAAGTAGAGGTGAGCTTGGGGCCCTGCATGGGGAGGGGATCTGGCCCTGGGGCATCTCCTCACCTCCTGGTCCTCTCCAGGTGGCACCAGGCCGTGTGGTGACCGTGCTGACGTGGCCAGGCACCAACCCCAGACTCTCCTCCCTTTTACTCAACTCCCACACGGATGTGGTGCCTGTCTTCAAGGTGTGTGTGGGGACAGGGGGAGTGGTGTAGGCTTTGAGGCACGCGAAGATGATGTAGACCTTCTCTTGGACCCCAGGGATCCTACTGGGCTGGTCCTAAAACTGACTCCTGATCTCATAAGGTGTTACTCTGTTCAAGCAGCTTTTGTCCAGTGGTCCATTCTGTGCCCACAGTGGGGGTGGGGGTCATGGTGGGAACAGAGTTGAGGGATGGCAATCAGCTGCCCTCTTCAGCCCTCTTCTATCCCCTTCACCACCCCACTTGACACCCCAACTCTACTATGGGCTTCCAGGACAGGGCCACAGTTGAGCAGAATAGATTAAATTTGGGGCTTGGGTCCTTCTTCTCATCTCCACCCCAGGAACACTGGAGTCATGACCCCTTTGAGGCCTTCAAGGATGCCGAGGGCTACATCTATGCCAGGGGCACCCAGGACATGAAGTGTGTCAGCATCCAGTGAGTGTCCTCCATTCCCTGTCCCCTCCAATGTCACTGGCCCATTGAATTGACACAGGACCTGGGGTGTGATTGGAGAAACTCAAGGCCAAGGAACATCTTGACCCCTTACCTTGGACAGGAATTACCACCATTACATGGATAGGGAGACTGAGGGACAGGGATTTCCCAGAGTCCCCCTACCAGATTGTGGCAGAGTAGGGCCCAGGGCCCAGGGCTCCAGCCTGCCCACCCAAGCATCTGGTGGCTCCCTCAACACCTGGCTTACCTCCTGTCATTGCCCCTCAGGTACCTGGAGGCTGTGAGGAGGCTGAAGGCTGAGGGCCACCATTTCCCCAGAACCATCCACATGACCTTTGTGCCAGGTAGGAGTGGCTTGGGGAGGGACACTTTCAAGGGAGGAGGATGTGTTGGTGAGGGTGGCTCCCTCATCTCATGTCCTTGTTGCTTTTGCAGATGAGGAGGTTGGGGGTCACCAAGGCATGGAGCTGTTTGTGCAGCGGCCCGAGTTCCAGGCTCTTAGGGCTGGCTTTGCCCTCGATGAGGGTGAGCAGGGTGGCAGGCCCCTGAGCGGCCAGTAGGGGATAGGGAATCTGCTAGTGGGGGCTGGGCCACTCCACCCTCTGAATCCCCTTTTCCTCCCCAGGCCTGGCCAACCCCGCCGATGCCTTCACTGTCTTTTATAGTGAGCGGAGCCCCTGGTGTGAGTATGGGCTCGGCAGGAGGGTGTCACTGTGCAGATGGGGTGCTGGGCCAGAGGGGCAGGGGCCTGCCCAGGGTCATGCAGCAGGTTTGGACCTGAGTAGGCCTTGAACCCAGAGCCTCTGCCTCCCAGACCCTTCCTACCTGGGCTTCTCCTTCCTGAGCTTCTTAGGGTAACCCCCTGTCATGAGCAGAAGCCAGCTCTACACTGTGCATTCTGTGGGGGACAGCCCTGCCAGAGGAGCTTGGAATGAGGGGAAGACCTGGGTCCACCCCAGGGCTGATACTCTTTCAGCCCTACCCATGCTTAAGACACCCACTTCTCACTCATTTTTCCCAGGGGTGCGGGTCACAAGCATCGGGAAGCCGGGTCACGGTTCACGCTTCATTGAGGACACAGCAGCAGAGAAGCTGGTGCGTGGCACACAGGGAGGGAGTTTGGGAATTCCCAAGGCTCTATCCCAGGGCCACTCTCACATCCGATCTCACACTCTCCTAGCACAAGGTCGTGAGCTCAATCCTGGCTTTCCGGGAGAAGGAGAGGCAGAGGTAAGGCAGCCTGGGAAAGAGGGTGGGGGTCTGAGCATCTGTGCAGGAGAGAAAGGAGGTTCCCCCTGCTGCCCCTGCCCTGTCTCCCACCGCAGGCTGCAGTCAAACCCCCACCTGAAGGAGGGGGCTGTGACTTCTGTGAACCTGACTAAGCTAGAGGGCGGCGTGGCCTGCAATGTGGTACCTGCTACTATGAGCGCCAGTTTTGACTTCCGTGTGGCACCGGATGTAGACCTGAAGGTGCCACCTCTACCTGGGTTTGGAGGAGGGAGCCAGGTCCTCAAACCTATCTTGGAGGCTCAGGGAGAGCCCGAGAGGTCAGCTCATCTCCCTTCTCATAGGCTTTCGAGGAGCAGCTGCAGGGCTGGTGCCAGGCAGCCGGCGAGGGAGTCACCTTCGAGTTTATTCAGGTATCGGCTGGGGACCCATGGTCGGGGAGCCGTGGGCACAGGGGAGACCGGGCTGGCTGAGTGTGGGTCACAGTGGGAGTGTGTGCTTGGTGTGCATGCATATATCTAGACATTGCTTTAGCTATGAGAGACACGTTTCATTCACCAACAAGCATTAGTCATGGAGGCCACTGTTGGGTGCTGAGCATAGCATAGGAGTAAAATTAGGCACAGTTCATGGCCTTCTAGTCCTTACAGCATGAAAAAAGGAATAGACCTGAATTAGACATTTGTATAATATTACTTTTACATAAGTATGAACACATGTGGTTCAGAAAAGGGTGGGACCCCACACTCTGAGAACCCATAACGAGTATTCGGCCAGTCTGAGAGGTCTGGGAGAGCCAACCTGAGGAAGGGCCACTTGGCCTAGGATATGAAGGATGGACAGGAAGTAAGAAGATGGAGAGCAGGGCAAGGTCCCAGACCTGTGGCTGGACTGGCCAGCTGGACATCTGAATAGGTGGATTGAGGCCAGGGTGGGGAGTGGGGGTTGGATGTGTGCCTGTGGCAGGCACAGCCCACCCTATGAAGAATAGGGCAAGATGTCCGGGCCCTGTCCTGATCTTGCCTTCCTTCCCCTCCCCCCAGAAGTGGACAGAGTCCCGAGTGACATCTACTAATGACTCAGATCCCTGGTGGGCAGCATTCAGTGGGGTCTTCAAGGACATGTGAGCATACTGGCCAGCCTTTCCCTTTCCTCTGTCCTTCCCCTACTTCCCTTCCACCTTCCTTGTCCCTTCAATCCTTCCCTTGCCCTCTCCCCTCACTGCCTCCCCATTCACCAGGCTCTTCCCTCGGCAGGAACCTCACTCTGGAGCCGGAGATCTTCCCAGCTGCCACCGATAGCCGTTATCTCCGTGCGGTGAGCCTCATGCAATGGATGAGCAGTGGGTGGGCCTGGATCCTGGCCTTCCTCCTAACAGCTTCTCCTTGCTCCCTGCAGGTGGGGGTCCCAGCTCTGGGCTTCTCACCCATGAACTGCACACCCGTGCTGCTGCATGACCACGATGAGCGTCTGCATGAGGCTGTGTTCCTCCGTGGGGTTGACATATACACACGGTTGCTGCCTGCTCTGGCCAGCGTGCCTGCCCTGCCCAGTGAGAGCTGAGTCCCAGGCTCCCCAACCTCTACCCCGGGAGTGTCCATCCTGACCAGTGTTAAGTACCCCTCTGCCCCCCTGCCCCACAATAAAGTCTGTGTGCGGACAGGGGCCAGTTCTGAAGTACTAAGAGCAAGGATGTTCATGAAGCAGGGATTCTGTCATTTTCTTTGTGGACATGCTGTTATCACCCCCAGTTCACAGATGAGGAAACTGAGCCTGGCTCTGGATATGTCTCTAGCATCCTATGCTGCTCTTGTGCCCCTCGACACGGCATGCTCATTCAGTACCACCCAGCCCTGTCTGGCATCAAAGGACCATAACTCTTGTTCTCAATGGTCACTATACCTATATCCGATTTTTAAGGTCGGGGATACCATCCGCGTTGAGGGGGAAACTAAGACAAAGATCTCAGGGAAACATTCCTGGCTTTCTGGAAACACACTTGGGATCCTGAGATAGAACTAGAACTGGAGGCCAGGTGGGCCCTGCCAGATGTCGGGGCAGGCAGATAATGAGCAAGTCATGACTGCTCGCATTGGCCAGACCCTAGGGATGACAGGTGTGGTGCCTGCTCTGGTGTTGGGAGCTTGAGTCACAGAGGGGCAGGAGCCTTGGTAGACCTGGTTAGTTGACTTTAGGGTCCCCAGCACCCTGTGTAGGGAAGGATCAGTGTGCAGAGTGGCTCACGAATGGGGGCTTCAGTCTGTCAGCACTGCTAGGGCTCTAGGCAGTACCAAGAGTCACTGTGGCCCTGAGAGTTGAGCCTGTTCCTCTAGCTTATCCGATCTAGTCCTGTTCTGGCCTCCACAGAACTGGGTGGGACAGGTATGGCTGGGCTTTTAAGTGCTGATAGTGGCCAGAGGGAAGTCCACAGCCTGGTTCTGTGGTCTGCAGGCTTAGTCCCCATGGTAGTAACCCCTGCACCTGGAGTTCTGACAAGGAGCCAGGACTTTGTTACCTTTGAACCCTCACAGCAGCCCCTGGATGCAGGTTTCACTGGAACCCCTTTAGAAGCTCTGCTAGAATACCCTGTCCAAGACTGCATAGCTTGCAGGTAATGGGAGTCCACAAAGAATTGAGACTCAAGAACTGGGGACCTGTGCTTCTACACAAGGGAGGCTCCATGCAAAAGCTGAGTGCAGCACGCTGGTTGTGACGTTCAGTAAGCCTAGTTGAAGCCCCTGACCTGGGGTCTGGCCTCCCCCTTCAGACTGCAGCAGGATGACTGGGCAAAGGAGTCTTTATGCCCCCTCTCTTGGGGATTAGAGCACAGGCCTTAGTGGAAGCCACATGACCTGGTAACCTCAGGCTGGGCCAAGCTACCTTCAGGACATAAAACCTGCTTTTGGTCCCTTTCAAGACCCCACCTATCTGACACCCCCTGGTAATGGGGCAGTTGGCCATCCAGAGCATGCCAGGATGACAGTCATGAGCTAGCAGCCCAGCCTTGGCTGGCCAAGCAAACTTTCTGGGGTCCAGCATGGGCTGCCTGGGTCCCAATGCGACTTCCATCCCAGCCTAGCCCCATCATCTAGGAACAAATTTCCTTCCCTGTAAAACAAAAAGAATAGTAATACCTACCTCAGAAGGGAGACCATTTATCATGGGTTGTAGCTAGTACCCCAGAGTAAGGAAGTGAAATCCTTGAGACAAGTGCCCAAGGCTGGTTCACAAATTACATGATCACCATACTCAAAAGTGAGTTTTGAGGACTCGGTGACCAGGAACAGTGATATGCTTGGCACCTTCTATAGGAAGCCCCCAGATACCAATGACCACTGTACCACTTGCTTCATTGACTCCTCTAAGGACGAAGACTTTGCAAATAAAGCAGCTGATCCAGGGTGCACAGCAGGGTCTGGCGCAGTTGCACTAGGAAGACAGTGCCATCACTGCCCTGCCTGCAGGGCCCCCAGCGCTTGGGGGGACCAGAACAACCGGAATAGTGGATGCTGGCCATGTACACTAGGAACAGCTTAAGTGTGGAATGGCTCAGGCCAGAGTGCAGAATTCAGCAGGGTCCTTTATCTCCTGGCTAAATTCAAAGATCAGGATGTTTGTGATTACTTTCCTCACCAGCCTGCCTAGTCCAGCAGGCTATGTGCTCCAGCCTCCCTAAGGCCCACCACCGTTTCTTTTACCAGGTCCCCTTCCTACACTCCAGAACCCCATTTCCCCTGACTCCCACCCATACCCTACCACCGAGAGAAAGCAAAAAATGGAGGTACCAACCCCACTCCAACCCTAGTTCCAGGATCACAGACACAGGCCAACTGACAGATCCTGCCGCAGGTTTATTTGTACAAATAGCACAGGAGGACACCAGCCCCGTGCAGATAGAAGCCCAGGGGTCACACCAGTCCTTCTACCCTCACACTGGCAGATGGAAGCCTCTACACTGGTGCCTTTGTGGGGGCCTGGGCACCTTTGGGAGCCTGAGCCTGAGCTGCAGCAGGAGCTGGAGCAGGAGTTGCAGCTGCAGCCTGGGCCTTGGTTTGAGCCTTGGCCTTGGCCTTTGGCCGGCAGAGCCTGAGACCCTTGGCAATGCGGGCACGAGCACGTTTCCCGAGCTTGGGGTGAGCGATGTAGGCAAGTCGATTGAGCTTGCGGCTGCCACCCTTTGGGATCTTGGGCTTGACCTCCTTGGGCTTGACAAGGGCCTTGATAGCCTCGGCACGTGCACTCATGGCCTTGGCGTTGTTGGCCTGCATCTTCTTCAGGCCCTTCTTGTTGTGCTTCTTGGCAAAGCGCATATTCCTCAGGAACTTGGGGTCTACCTGGAAGGCAAAAAAAAGCAGACACTGTAAGTGCAACATGTGGGCCCCAAGTCACCTGTTGTGGCCCTCTCCACAGCTGTACCCAGGAGATTGCTGGGCTCCAGCCAAGGCCTACTGGGGAGGTAGACAGTCAAACTTAAATGCTGAAATATACACCCCTCACAAATCACCTGAAGAGAAACACGTACTACAACCCCAGAAGCCAACACTCCACCCTAATACTCCACACACACCACATTTTCCGGGCTACATGCCCAGAGCCCAATAGAGCTCAAATCAAGTGCAGACGGAAAGAACAAATGAAGGCTGCCCCTTCTGCCAGGGTTGCAGGGCGTCAGCTCAGTTTTCCTGAAACCCCTCAGGGCCATCCCCACCTCTTTTAAGGAAAGTGTCAGTTAAACACCAAACCTGGTACAACAGATTCATGGCAAAGAAGGCTGAAAAAGAAATCAAGATGGGGAAACTGAAGCTGTGAAATTCAAAGATTCATTCCACAGATCAGAGACCAAGGGCACAGGGAAGAGACAGGACCCTGTTCTCTTGCTTAGACCCTGTAGCCTCAGCCTTCTCAGCCAATTCTTGGAACTCCTTGGCACAGGAAGGAAAGCTGACCCCCCAAGCTCAGCACCGGGTCAGATCAAGGTCATGTGACTAGAAGAATGGAAGACTCTCACAAAGTGCGCAGTACACAAAGATAAAGCCATTCCCTCCCTTCAAGTGCTCTGGATAAACAATGGGGATGGTCAAACTACCCTCAGGAGGCAGGTTACAGTTGACCAGGGAGTTACGACCTGGGCTGGGAAAAGCCAAGTAAAGGTTTCTTATGGGTTTGGCAGAACTTCAAGTCCAAGCGAAAGGTGGCTGGATAGAGAAACCGTGGACTTTGGTAGTCCAGGTAAGACAAGAGACAGTTCATAACGGTGCTCAGGCAGATGCTGAAGCCAGAAAAAGATACATGAAAGGCTCTCTGATGGTGCAACTGGGGCCAAACAGACACACTTGTATGTGATGCGGCACACACACTCACCCCCTTAAGAGATTCGTATCTTTGTGACCGGGGCTTCTTGATGCCATTTCTGTGCCATTTCCGTGCTGTGAGGAAGCAAAGGAATTAGACCAAATGAGATTTGCTCTAGTAAGACCACCCAACATCATAGCTGGCCAGCCTGGGAAAAACCATTACTTCCCAGAGTAGGCCTTCTTGAGATCTGGAATAACCCTTATCATTGAATGCAAAGCACGGTGGGTATCTCAAGCGGATGCCTGGCTTCTACAACTATAACCCAAAGGTAACAGTGACTGAAAACAAAATCAGCCCCAGGCCCACAGTAGAAATGTGCCCCCTTGCCCTGCCCTGCATCCCTAGTTCTTGTCAGGGTCTGAAGTGTGAGATAAGAGGTTGGGCCAGGGGAACTTACACTGGTTGTGCGTGGTGTGGTTCTTGGACTTGGCCATATCTGCACCTGGAAGAGGAGAGTAGCGGTCAGGCCCGGGGCTCACAGGGCTGGGCCTATCACTGCCGCCCTGATGTGGAAGGACGTGGGCCAGAAGCCGGAATGAAGCTGCACACAGATGCCTGCCTTGTATCTGCGGCCTCCACCGGCCTCAACTTACTCAGCACGACCCGACGCCGGTCCCCGCCTCCCGAACTCGGGTAACAGTGCCCTGAAACCAACCCTCCCTCCGAAGGCTGCGCTCTACCCCAAATCCGAGTCCTCCCCCTCCCATCCACTCCTTGAGAACCCGCAAGCACCGCGCGCGCTCCGCACCCTCCGCTCCCCACAGTCACGCAGCCGGTCTCCCTGTCCTTCGCGGGGTTTGCGCCCGGCAGCTGGCTGGGAGCCGCGGATGGCTCCGGATACCGCGCGGCCAAAACTCACCAAAGCCCGCGGCTCCCGAAGCGCCTTGGACCGGAAGAGAAAGAGGAAGGCCGCTGTGCAGCACGGGAAATAGGGTCGTCCGGGCCGGAAGGTTCTTCCGGAAAAGCTTCCCCCAGCGCCGGGAAGAAAGGTTCCGAAGCCTGGGAGGGTACAAGCCAGATGGGAAGGCGGCGCTACGAGCCTCGCGCAGCTTCCTGCAGGTTTTACCCACGTTTATTCTTCCTGGACTAGGCTCTTGGGGCCCAGTTCTCATTAAAGGTCCCGAAGACGAAGGGAGACCCTGAGGAATACATGCTAGGAAAGGAGTGACAGACTTGTGTTCTTTAAAAGTACCTTGGCTGCTGTGCGG